CATCTCAAACACACACACACACACACACACACACACACACACACACACACACACTTACTTACCTGACTCACCTAGGTACGGACAAAAGAAACCCTCATGAGAGGGGGACTTACGTTTAGCATTTTTTCATACACACCTTTCTTTAACATCTAATTTTATGGCAACTTCGAATTTTACCAACCGAATTGTGTCCAATAAAAATGATTAGTTCCTTACAACATGGTAAATTAATGTTCAAATCCATATTTAAAGAAATTAGTACTTAATTGTATCTTGAATAGAATTACCTCTACTAAGAAAATACTAAATACTACATTATTAGCAATGAAAAATTAAAAAGAATCAATTTTAAAAACAAATATACAAATTTTTAATTTAGGTTCAAGAGGTTTAGTTTCAAGTACCACAAAAATAGTTTTAATTTCGAGATTTTTTAAATAACATAATAAAACATTCAAGAACTAAAACTGAAAAGTTATTTCCCAATTCATGGTCAAAGAGAAAAAAAGAAAAGAAAAGTTTTTCCCTATTTTTCATAGAAATTTAAACTTTTACTCTTTTGAGTTATATATTATTTTAGAAAAATCACTCTCAAGTTTCACATAAACAATATAAATATAAAAAAGTGAAAAAATTATGAATTTATTTTGAAATCTCATAATATCCTTTATTGAAGGTTTCAATTAATGCTAGATAATTGTCAACTTTTGTTACTTAATTGTCAAATGAACAATTCCACTAACAATTATGGAATTTTTGTTTTTAGAATAATAGGGGCATTTTCATTCAAAAAATAAAACCAAGTACAAACACCACAAATAACAAGGAAAAAACAACAATGCAAATACAACAAGGGGCAAAAGAAAAAGCCCCAAATTAAATCTCATAATCAAGTGAGAGGAGTCTAATAGAAAAGAGTTCGGTCGCCAATGGCCTTGTAACTTAGTGACGTGGGAACTCTCCTGTAAGTGAAAGGTTGTAGGTTCGATCCTGTTTGTAGCCTCAGGCTATTAGTGCCTACCTCTTTAATTCAAAAAAAAAAAAAAAAGAGTTAGCTCATTAGCAAGAGTGATGGCGAATTTTGCTAAATGGCTAATTAGCAAGAGTTAGTCATAAAATTTTTCGCTTAGTGAACAAAAGAAAAACTGATTTTCCAATTATACTGCAACTTTAATATTAAAAGTTGACAATTTCAATAAAAAATATGAGACTTCATAATAAATTGTAATTTCATAGGACTTTTATGTATTTAGATTGATTGTGTAGAATTGGGTAATGATTTACCCTGCTATTTTTGAATCAAATAGAATAAAATTATCCCTTTCCCCATTTTTGTAAAAGTCCTATTTCTTTACTTTACTTCCCTTGCATCAAGTATCAATCAATTTTTATCTATCATTACTGAATGATTGGAGGGGAGGAGAGGGAAATAAATTTTGGATCCCCTCCAAAGTAAGGGGATTGGGAAAGAATTCCTCTCTCTCCCTCCCCTTCAACAATACATATTAAAGAAAAGAAAATTATTATTTCCTCCATTAAAAGATGTAAGGCATTTTTAATTAAATTTTATCATTTAATAAAGTAGTTATTTACTTTTAAATTAACTATATTTTTTCATATTTATTCTTATTAAACATCCTATAATAAATATAAAATCATTTATCAATAGAGACACTTTAAAAAAAAAAGATAATGATTATATCTCGAAAGACTAAAAATACTTTATATTTTTTAACATTCAACTCCTCAAAAAATACCTTACTTTTTTAAACAGGGAGAATATTTTTTATTCATATATTTTGTTTAAGTTTTATTATAGGTTATTACATTTTTTTTAGTATTCTAGATTCCTTTACTTTTTTCTGTTTATAATGTTAGTCCCTATAGTTTTATGAGAGATGTTGATGTGGCACAAAAATATTAAGATTGCTTATATATCTACTAACATTATTAAGTTTGTGCTGACATGTTAAAAGGATATTGAGTTAAACTTTTTAACAAGAAAAATAAATTTTAAAAAAGCTACGTGAGATTAAAAAAAAAGATGATGTGGAATTAAAAAAAGTCTCAACTTAAAATCTGTATACAATATTTTAAAAAATATTTAAAAATGTATTTTAATCTTTAAGACCCTCAATATTTTTTCTTAATTTTTTAAGTATCTTAAAAATATATTTTACATTTTTATCATACAAAAATAATTAATTTTAAGGTAAATTTTTTTTTTACAAGTTCAAACTTATTTGGCTGATCTACTTAAATTATTAGCTCTAGCTAGAAGGAGATCAACTTGAGAGCTTCAAGTTCTCCTATTATCCTTTTCTTTCAACTCTTCAAACTTTAGTTTCAAGTTAGGCTTAAGTAAGCTCAAACTTATAAAAAACTTGAAAAGCGAGACCTGACCTTGACCTTTTTGAGCCTATTGAGGCGAATTTGAGTACATGAATAGATGAATTTTTAATTTTTTTAAAAATTAATTTTTACTAAAATCAATTATTTTTATATTATAAAAACCATAAAATATATTTTTGAGATACTTAAAAAATATAGAAGACTTAATATTTTTGGGATATTTTATAGATATTTTAAGTTAAGAGTTTTTTTTTTTAACTTCATGTCAGCCTTCTTTTAATCTGATGTAGCTTTTTTATTTATTTTATTTTGCTTATTGGAAAGTCTTAGACAACACTTATTGAACACATCACACAAACGTAATTGTGTTAGTGGATACATAAACAATATTAATATTGCTTGTACTACATCAACATCTCTATAAAATTATAGAACAAATATTGTAAATGGAGAAAGGTATATAAAGCTAGAACATCAAAAAATGAGTATATGGACTCACATCAAATTTTAAACGAAGTATGGGAATAAAAATAGTAGTTTCTTGAAGAAAATAATCCTACGTAACAAAATCTATAATTTTTTTTTTTTGGCCAAACAAACTCTATGATTGATTCACGGATGCATGAACGAGCGAACATGACGCTCAAAGCGTAACGTGTGCTTTTACGAGCCACGTCACTCCAAACTCTAAAGACAAGATATTCTTTTAATATTTATTTAATTGAGTCTGATATTAGGATTTTCAAAGGCCAATAATGTTACGCTGCTTTGCCTCTACTTTATTCTATCACATGCCACCTCATCTGTTAATGTCAATCGCACACATCTTTTGACGTCAGTGGTCAAGATCCTTTTAGTCTCGCAGATACAGTGAACCTTCATTTACCCGAACTAAAGCTTGGGGGGATTTTCTGACTTATGTGGTCCCCACATTCACCGTCCTAGTCACCACTAAAAATCCGTTGGTTCCAGTTCATTGATTCTTTCTAAACCTACCTTTGTTTAATATTATCAGCTTGGCGCCACCACATTTATTATTTATTATTATATATCAAATACTTCATAGTTTTTTTTTTGGCCAGAAAAATACTTCATCTTATATGATACTATTAAACAAGATTATATATACTAATAAACAAATTATAATTTTATAAATTTTCAAAAAATACTCTTAATTTAATATAATCTTATTTTCTAAAACAAGTATAATTTATTGTTGGTTAAAAAAAACAAGTATAATTTATGAAATTTTATTTTTGTAAAAATATTTTATATTTTACCTCTAAATGTATATTATAAATTAGGATAGATTAATAGTGATTTATTTTTATCTAGGCAGATATTTTCATTTACTATATACAAAATGATAATGATAATTAGTTTTTTTTTTCACAGAATTCTATATGTATCTATGAGATTGAGTATGGAATTTTGTTCACTCACTTAAAATTGAGTATCCATTTCTCTCCTTTTTTTTCTAGGATTGAAAATCCTGTAATTTACATATCCATACAATTGAGTCCTTGGGTTTTTGAAATAGTGTAAAAAGAAGTGCATCCTTAAAAAGACAAGATGCGTAGGTAATAAACTTTAGATTTTACAATTATTTTATGGTAAATTTAAATTATATAATAAAATTCTTAAATTTATAAATTTCTATATTTATTTTAAAATTTAAATCTAAATGTTTTAAAACTAAAATTTTCAATTATAGTCTTTTTATCCTTTTATTTTTGCCATAATTTTACAAGATAAAATTTTATATTCATTAAGAAATATTTCTCTAAAATTATTATTCATAAAATTTTTATTCTAAATATTAATACTGAAACTTAAAATTCAATTTTGTTATTTTAAAATTTAAATGTCAAAATATTGATTATTTTTGTATAGATGAAAATAATTTTAATATATTATATATAGATACAATGATTTTGGAATTTTAAAGAATAGGATAAATAATTCAATTAAAAATATTTCAAGTGCTTGAATCTTTTTCTAAATTATATAAGTCAAACTATTGATAAATAACAATAATAACAACCAATGCAGTCCAATTTTTTTTTATTCGGTATAATTCATGGAGATGCAGGAAGTTATATGTTTAGACATTATTTCAAGAATATTTTGCACTTAAATAAACTATATAATATATATTTCCTCCATTTAAAAATATAAAATATTTTTTAAAAAATTAAATGTTTAAAAATATAAGGTATTTTTAATCTTTTAGAATGTAATCATTATCTTTTTTAAAAAAATATTTTTATTAATGAATAATTTTATATTTATTGTAGGGTATTTAATAGAGATAAATATAAAAAAATAAAGTTAATTTAAAAGTAGATAACTATTTTATTAAGAGTTAAAATTTAATTAAAAATATTTTATATTTTTAAATGAAGAAAGTTTGTATGTGCGCGTGCGTGTATGTATGTATATATATATATATATTGTATTTACTAGACTAACTCGCAAGAAAACAAAATTATCTGCATGACTTTTTTTTTTTTTTTTTTTTTTTTTTTTTGAGCCATGAGCATGATAGCCGGCAAGTTGGTAACATGGGATAGCAAAGCGGGGTTTCGGGGATGGGCTAAAGATTGCAAATTGAAGTAATTTCAGTGAAGGATTCAATGAATGCCATTATTAGGAAACAGTTCCCCAAGCATTGGATTGGCTTCATGGGACCCTGAATTTGCTATAAATACCTTCTTCTCCTTTGTTGGACTCACAGTCCTATCTAGTTTCTAGCTTCCGGGGCTGTGATTCCTGCATTTTCTATATCTCCTGCTTGGAATCACAGTCCGAGGCTAGTTCTAGTGGGGCTGTGATTTTTTTTTTTTTGGCTTATAATTTTTACGTATATTAGATTTCAGCCCCTTCACTTCCTTCTCCATAGAGAGTTGCTTCAAATTTTTGCTTTTGTTTGTTGGAGAAGATGACTGTGGGAGCCGGAATTTCTGTGGCCGATGCCAATTTGATGGTGTTGGGGAAGAAGGTCCTCTCTCAGGTTCCCCAAAACGTCGTCGTTACACCCTCCTCTTCAGTTCTAGATGGTGCTTTCATTGGAGTTGATTCTGATCGCAAGGGCAGCCGAAGAGTCTTTCCCATTGGAAAACTACAGTATGTTCTTTCTTTTTTTCTTTCTTTCTGAATTTTTGTTTCTTCTTGGTGATGGCTGAAATGAGTGCTGATCAAAAGCCTGATGCTATATCATGCACTCATACATCCAGATTGAACTCGTATTTAGGTAGTGTCTTGCATCTGTATCTTTGATTCTTAGTAAGCATGCGTGCAACTTAATGCTTGTTGGTTTTTTCATCTCAAACTAGTTGAAAATTTTCCCTTTTGGATATTTTGTTTATTATAAGTGTCGTGACTGTAACATGGACTCGTTCTAATGTTTTTTCTAGGGGGTTGCGCTTTATGTGTGTATTTCGCTTCAAAATGTGGTGGATGACGCAGCGAATGGGTACCTGTGGGCAAGATATTCCCTTTGAAACACAGTTCTTACTTGTGGAAGCGCACAAGAGTTCTGATATTGATGGGATCAGAAATGGAGAAGAAGACACTTATGCTGTTTTCTTGCCTCTTCTGGAAGGAGATTTCAGAGCAGTTCTTCAAGGAAATGAGCAAAACGAGATAGAGATCTGTGTGGAAAGTGGTATGATGAAGTAAATGAAATTTCACTTTGTTCTGTATCATGTTAAATTTTGCTGTTATGGGGAGTGATTGAATTTGATTGGATGTAGGATGTCCTGATGTTGAGGGATTTGATGGGACTCATCTGGTATTCGTTGGAGCAGGATCAGACCCTTTTGAAGTCATTTCAAATGCAGTCAAGTAAGTTTCAAACTTCAAATATATGACTATCACAAACTTAGAAGCTTTGCTAATTTCTCCGCCTTCTTTGTTCCTATTTGAAAGTTATCGCTAGGATAGAAGTCAGCATCTATGTCTGTTTAGTACATGATTGGGACCAAATAGAAGAGAATTAGTGCGGAATTATGCCTAACGTTCTTATTCATGATTGAGTTCATCTACTGGTTTTCCCCCCCTAGAATTAATCTATTTTGGATTCTCAGGTTATACATTTTAGTTTCAAGTTTTAAGAATTTGATGTTTTTTTTTTTTCATTATTTTCTCTTTTGAGTCACAATGATGGAAGTTAGGCAATGTTTCTCATGCTTGTGTGAATTACTCCAATAATTTCTTTTTCGTTTGCAACTCAGGACTGTTGAGAAACACTTGCAGACATTCTCTCACCGTGAGAGGAAGAAGGTACAAATCTCTTTCTTAAAAATGAAAACTCCATGGACATCTTTCTGAGTTCTACTAGGTTTTAATGCCCATTTCCATGTGTTCCCTTTTCATCTTGTGTCCAGATGCCAGACATCTTGAACTGGTTTGGTTGGTGTACATGGGATGCTTTCTATACCAAAGTCGATTCAGAAGGAGTAAAGCAAGGATTGCAAAGGTGTTTTTACTTCCCATCATGGATAATTATCAAAATTTATTTATTTGCAAAGTAAATTGTCACTTTTGTCCTTGAATTATGAGGTCTATTTTAATTTAATCTTCAAAATCCGTTATTGTATGAGTTAGTCTCCAAAATTAACAAACTTGTTCAACATACTAGGATCATTTATCAAAAAGACTGTTATGCAATAGATTTTATATTTAATCCCATCTCTTTGACTCACTTATTTTTCTATTTAAAGCTAGTGGACTGAAAAGTTCATAAATCAAATTGTTGGCAGTAATTTCTAACCTTTGTGCATATTTTTGTTCCTCTTGCAGCTTAGCAAAAGGTGGGATTCCCGCCAAGTTTGTTATAATTGATGATGGATGGCAATCTGTTGGCATGGACTCTAATGGTATTGAATGGAAATCTGATTTTGCGGCCAAGTGAGTACTTCTTTTTTTTTTATCCCCATGTTTGAGCTTGATTAATTGACAATATTGAATAAGTATTTTATTTCTTTATTTTTCTATGCTTCAGTTTTGCAAATCGCTTGACGCATATCAAAGAGAATCACAAGTTTCAGAAAGATGGTAAAGAGGGTCAAAGAGAAGAGGATCCTGCTCTGGGTTTTCGTCATATCTCGAAAGACATCAAAGAACAGCATGACATTAAGTATGATATTATTTATTTCTATAATTTTGCAGACAGAATCTGTCTTGATCCTTAATAGATGATGCATTGTTGGTTGAATACTCTATTGGTTTTCTGTATTTAGAACTCAAGAGTAAGAATGTATGATCTTGTTTCTTATTACCCTTACAATTACTAAAATGATATGAAATCATACTCTTGTGTTCTGTCGAACAAATACAGTTTCTGTTCAATTGAATGTCATGAATCAATAAAATTCACAGTATTTGTATTTTTGCAGGTACATTTACGTGTGGCATGCTATAACGGGATACTGGGGTGGTGTTAAGCCTGGGGTTACCGGAATGGAGCACTATGAGTCAAAAATGGCCTACCCTGTATCATCTCCTGGCGTTGAATCAAATCAACCAGATGAAGCTCTAACAACCATTGCCATGAATGGGCTCGGCCTTGTGAATCCTGAGAAAGTTTTTCACTTTTATAATGAACTCCACTCATATCTTGCATCCGCTGGTATGGATGGTGTCAAAGTTGATGTTCAGAATATCCTTGAAACCCTTGGGGCAGGCCATGGTGGTAGGGTCAAACTCGCAAGAAAATACCACCAGGCTTTAGAGGCATCAATCGCAAGAAACTTCCCTGACAATGGCATTATTTGTTGCATGAGTCACAATACTGATGGCTTGTACAGGTAGGAAAGCACAAAATTAAATCATGTTCTCTTAGACCCTAGTATCAGACACAATACAACACTTTAAACTGCCGCTCAACATTTTATATTGTTGTTATATTTTGTTATGTCCTCTGTGCTTGCGTCTATGCTTCTTGGCCCTGATGTGATATAAATTTTTAATTCATGTAAATTTGCTCTGTTGCAGTGCAAAGCGATCAGCAGTAGTTAGGGCATCGGATGATTTCTGGCCAAGAGATCCAGCATCCCACACAATTCACATAGCTTCAGTTGCTTACAACACCGTTTTCCTTGGTGAATTTATGCAACCAGATTGGGATATGTTTCATGTAAGTTGACAATTGTTTCTTCTTGTTTTCTTTTTGCTTATGAAGTTAGTTGCTTTTGGAGCTAATTAATTTAAATTTTAATTATGATAGAGCCTACATCCGATGGCTGAATATCATGGAGCAGCTCGAGCCGTAGGTGGATGTCCTATTTATGTAAGGTATGTTCATTGCTGATGCTATATTTTGATTTTATTATGAAAAATTTTTCTTGACAGACTCAAATTTTTGAAGACGGTAAATAAAGTAATTATAAAAATATATGTATGTTGAGGATAATCCTCACTGAAAAGTATACTCGAATACATGTGTACTCTTGATAGTCTTGGTCTCCCTATCCCAGTACTGAATATTTGTACTTTGTGCAGTGACAAGCCTGGACACCATGATTTTAATATTCTGAAAAAACTTGCACTGCCTGATGGTTCCATATTGAGGGCCAAACTCCCAGGAAGACCAACAAAAGATTGTTTGTTTTCTGATCCTGCAAGAGATGGAAAGAGGTAAAAGACCCCATAGACACTGAAGCTTCTTCCTTCTTTCTTCCTGCATTTTTCTTAATCTTTTACCAGAATTGATGGGGGTTGCTCTTGTAGTCTTCTGAAGATATGGAACCTGAATGATTTCTCTGGAGTTGTTGGGGTGTTCAATTGTCAAGGAGCAGGATGGTGCAAAGTTGGAAAGAAAAACCTTATCCATGATGAAAATCCAGGAACAATCACTGGCGTCATTAGGGCTAAGGATGTTGACTTTCTAACTAAGGTTGCTGGTGAGAAATGGAATGGAGACACCATCATATTCTCCCATGTTGGTGGTACGTTTCTAAGCTTGACAAATTGCCTATACATATTCATGGGGCGGAATTGGATATTGGACTGTCCTTGCTAAGCCTAATTTGTCTCAAGATTATCAGTTAAACTTGAACTTAAGCAGTTATTGGTTCAAATGATATGCTTGGGGTTAGACTCTCTTAGCTGGGTCAAGTATGCCTATTGACTGGCCTAGCCCTCAAATAACACTGTTTATGAATTTTCACTGCTGGAAGCTGGTAAAAAGAGAAACTCTCTTTTTCCCAACTAAACAAACACCTTTAGATACACTGTAGGCTATGCCTATTGACTGGCCTATCTCTCAAATGAGCAAAATACTGTTAATAAAGTTTTACTGCTAGAAGTTGGTAAAAAGAGATGCTCTTTTGAATCAATTAAACACACTATTTTATGCACTGAAGGCCTCAGGTTTGCCTATTTGACTGGCCTATCTCTCAAATGAGCAAAATACTATTAATAAAGTTTTACTGCTGGAAGTTGGTTAAAAGAGATTATCTTTTTATCAATTAAACGGACACTATTTTTTGCACTGTAGGCCAGTCAGGTATACCTATTGACTGGCCTAGCTTTCAAATAAGCATGACACTATAAATGAAGTTTTACTGCTAAAAGTTGGTAAAAAGAGACACTCTTTTTATCATGTAAACAGACACCTTTAGATGCACTGTAGGTAATGATGGTGTTAAGACCCTAGGTTATGGAGTGCAACATTTTTAAAATTAATAATTTAAAAATAATTAAAAAAAATTTTGAATCCAAAATCTTTAAAGTTGGGTTAAGGGGTGCAAAATATTTGAGCCAAGACATGCAAAAAATTGAAATAAATGAATCTTTCTTGTAATTTTCTTCAAGCTCAAGGGGTTCATTTGCCCCCTTCGCTTCAATGTAGTGCTGCTCATCTGTAGGTCAGTTAGGTATACCTATTGACTGGCCTAGCGCTCAAATAAGCATAACACTGTTTAGAAAGTTTTTCTGCTGGAAGTTGGTAAAAAAAGACACTCTTTTTATCAACTAAGCAGACACTTAAAGATAAATTGTGGTCCCTATATCTCTTTGATGATTATTGAAGTCTCATTATTTTTATTTATGATGTCAATCTGCATTGCAGGAGAGGTTACTTACCTTCCAAAGGATGCATCTATTCCTATTACATTGAAATCCAAAGAGTTTGAAGTTTTCACAGTAGTTCCTGTTAAGGAAGTTAATGACGGTGTCAGATTTGCTCCTATTGGTTTGATGAAGATGTTCAACTCTGGAGGAGCCATCAAGGAATTGAATTGCGTATCTAATGGAACCACAAGCATTATCGTGGAAACGCGAGGCTGTGGTTTATTCGGAGCTTATTCATCAGCTCGACCTAAGACAGTGACAGTGGATTCAGAGGAGATGGAGTTCAGATATGATGAAGGATCTGGGCTGGTAACTATTGACTTGAGAGTACCAGAGAAAGAGTTGTACCAGTGGAACATATCTATCAACTACTGATGCATGAATCTTATATTTTTTGTGCACTGGCCTAGTTTGGATACAAGCATGTCATCCTATGTGACGGAAGCATAAATTCAGACAACAAAAATTGAGGAGGTTATGATATGAGTCCCTAGATTAGAGATCAGAAAGCTTTTGTAGTTTCTTCTAGTGATGTATCTGCTTATCTGTAGATCGCCATGGAAGAACTAAGAAGGTTAGGAAGCTTTTCTAATTTTTTGTGTCTTGTAATATATTTATGTATTGAGGAAGGCCAAAAAAGGGCTATATTTGAAGGGCTCTTGGAGTTGAAACCTTCTGGAGGAAGAATGTAATCTTATATAAGCTTGCCCACCTTGGGCAATTCCAAAAATAAAAACTTATGTCAGTGGAGACAAATAGTTGTAGAACATGAAGGCCGAATTATGGCGTCTCTCGAAATAGTTATAGTTAACATTATTGTACTGTTAAAGTAGTCTATTATTAGCCTAGATTCTGTTTCTCTTCGGTGGATCATAATAAGCCCAACTCTTTTACAAATCCACTACTAGGGTGTGGGGATTTTTTATGGTCAGGTATTTCCTGATTTGCTTTATGGTTTTGATTGTAGCCTTGTCACTTAAAGAGAGAGAGAGCAAACCCAGCAATGCTTGCTGAATGCTGAGTTATTGGTCCAAGAAAGTGGTTTTGTGGCTCTTAGAGTTCAAATTCATTTCATGAGTTGATTGTCTTAACAACGGTTTCTTAGTTTCTTTTAGTTTTGATCCGTTAAAGAATGCCCCAAAAAAAAAAGTTGGTTTTTCATGTTGTTTGATTATTTATAGGATAAAACCACCGAACTTTATGCCTTTTGTTCCATTGCTGCCATCAATACACTTTCAATGATCAATGATGAATTGATAATTGGGCTCAAACTCATCAGTACACTTTCACTTGTTTACTTCTCATACTATCATGAATAAATTACAATTTCAAACCAAATAAAAATAATGTTAGAAATCATTAAATTGATGCTTCCTAGCCTAAAAAAACGTGCCTTAGGTGACAGAATAGCAAAACCCTAGCAGACTAATTGGGTTTTCATCAAGGTTTTAAAAATCGGACTGAATCGGCCGATTTAATCAGTTCAACCGTGAACTAGTCATCAGTCCGGTTCGGTTGGGGCAAGTAAACTGGGGTACAATTGAATTGGTCAACAACATGTGAACCGGTCAAAGAATTGAAAAAACTGTAAAAAGAAACGGTTAAGATGAGTTGATCGGTTCATGTTATATTAATTTTTTTTCCTGCTCCTCAGCTTAAAACGATGTAGTTTTGAGTTTTTTTATTTTTTTATAATTATTTAATGACAAAAATAAGGACCACTTGTGATTGCTTGAGCCCGACTGCCCGATTGAGTTGCTCTGCCTATTCTCTGTTCAAGTGTTCATTACTTCATTTTTCAGCTTTCACTTCCAGTTCCAGTTGTTCGAGAGTGGCAGATTTGGCTTCTTCCCTTCATCCTCTTCGACGCACGATCGCACGCATTTGTCACTGGGATTTTCTTCATTTTGATGGACGGCGAATGTATCTCTGAGCTCAGCACCCTCGTCGAACACGTTCTTCGTCCCATTACTGAAGTGAGAAGTCAGATCTTGTATCATCTTCGTCTCATTTCTGAAGTCTAACCTAGGTTCTTCACTTCTCCTTCAGTCCGTCTTCATCTCTCCGCCCAAGGTCGAGTACTCGAGTCATCTCTGAAGTCTAAATCCATGCTCTCCAAGTTCAACTTGTCTTCATCTCTAAGCCAGTGAGTTGGCACTCTCCAAGTCTAACTTGCTTGAATTTGTCTGAAATTGTTACTTAAATCCTAAATTGCATGTTTATTCTTTCATTTTTGTGATTGTCTGAAATTGTTACTTGTCATATCCTAAATTCCTTTTTATTACTTAAATCCTGAGTTGCCTTTTATAGAGTCCCTCCTTCCATTTTTGTGGTTGATTATTTTTATCTAGTGATTTTAATTTCTATTTGTTTGAATTTAAAGTTTTGATTTAAGATCATGGATGCTGGTGGCCTTGAAAATAATGACACTCCTACACCTACACCTACTCCCACACCAACTCCTATACCCGTGTCAAATACCCTCTCCACTCACAATGTTAATGCTACTAGAAAGACTGGTATTGGTAGTTCATTAGAGAAACAATCAACAGTTGGCTCTACCCGTGGGAAGACTGATCCTACCTAGGAACATGTAGTCTTAAGAAAAGAAGGGGATACTGCTATTTATACATGCTTACATTGTTTAAGTAAATATAAAAAGGGTGGCATAAATAAATTGAAGTAGCATCTAGCTGGTGTAAGTGGTCAAGTTGTTTCTTGTAAAAAAAATTCCTCATGATGTACGCCATCGAATGATCTAGTCTTTAAGGGAGGTTTTAAGAAAAAGGAAGTTGGATGATATTGAAAAAAATTATGGTGATATTGATGACTTACAAGAAGTAGTTGATGCTAATTCAAATCCTCTTTCAAATATAGCTCCTCCGGCTCAAGATAAAAGGAAGGCTTCTACAAGTGGTGTAAAGAGACAAGCTTCTGGTGCAGCTGGCAATTACTTTGCCCCAAGAACAACTCCTGGTGCATAACCAGGTATTAAAAGTGTTTTGTCCACTAAAGAAGCAAAGCACAAAGCAAAGATTGCTATTTCTGAGTGGTTTGTTATCAATTGGATTCCTTTCAATACATTGAATTGTCTATTCTTTCAAAAAGCTATAGATGCAATTGCTACTATAAGACCTAGATTCAAAGGCCCTACTGCTTATGATATGAGAGTGAATTTGTTAAGGGATTTGAAACGAGAATGTCATTTAATTGTTGATGCTCATTAAAGAAAATGGGAAAGTAATGGTTGCACATTAATGGCTGATGGTTGGACTGATATTAAGCAACATACATCGATAAACTTTTTAGTTTATTCTACAAAAGGTATAGTGTTTGTGAAATCTGTTGATACTTCAAAGCTAGTCAAAGATGCCAAGACATTATTTCAGCTGTTTAGTAAAGTGATAGAGTGGATTGGCCCTAAAAATATTGTTCATGTGGTGATTGATAATGCAGCTAACTATGTAGCATGTGGTTAACTAATTCATGAGAAATATAGGCATATTTATTGGTTACCATGTGCTGCACATTGCTTAAATCTCATCTTGAAGGACATTGCAAGTTTGCCTCATGTGTCAGACCTTACATTCAAGGCATCAAAGATTACCATTTTTGTGTACAATCATACTGTCTTTTTGTCATGACTTAGAAAAAGACAAGGTTGGAGGGAGATTGTGCGTCTAGGAGCAACTAGATTTGCTACCACCTTTATTACTTTACAAAGCATCCATAAGTACAAGGATGACTTACAAGCTTTGGTGGTTGATAGACATTTTGTCGATCACAAGTTGTCTAAGACAGTAACAGGACAGAATTTTGCTAATATTGTCTTAGACAATAGATTTTAGAATGAGTGTTATGACATTGTGGTGCTTGTTGGTCCCCTCATTCAGTTGCTAAGAATTGTTAATGGAGATGAAAAGCCTTCTCTTGGCTATGTCTATAAAGGCATGATAAGGGCAAAACATGAAATCAAGAGTTTTTGTAACAACAATCCTCATAAGTATAAGCCTTACATAGACATCCTTAAAGTTTAATGGGATAAGCACTTGAAGAATAGTCTTCATGCAGCAGCATATTTTTTAAATCTAGCATTCATGTATGACCCTTCTTTTTATCTCAAAAGAAAGCTCACAGATGCTATACTTGATTTGCTTGGGGTGTATGGCTCTAATGATTATGTCCAATTGTGGGAGCAATTGAGTTTGTACAAAAATCATGATGGTTCTTTTGCTCAAGATCACTTGGGTCAAGCAGCAAAAAAATTATCACCTTGTAAGTTGTATACTTTTATTACTTTTAATTATTAATTATAATTTGAAATGATAAGTAAAAATGCTACATTTTTGTTGCAAATGAATGGTGGTCATTTGTTGGGGGTGATGCTCCACAATTGCAACAAGTTGCAATCCGTGTGCTTAGCCAAACTTCACCATCTTCAGGATGTGAGCATAATTGGAACTTGTTCGAACGTATTCACACAAAAAGAAGAAATAGATTAGATCATCAATGCCTAAATGATCTAGTTTTCACTAATTACAACTTGCGGTTGCAGCATAGGTAGTTATCTAAATGATCTAGTTTTCATTTATGTTTAGTTGAAAATTAAATAATATCTAACTTCTTTCTTGTTTACTTAATAGGTCACAGTTGAAAAAGAAAAATTATGATCCTATTGATTATGCATCTATTGACAGACTTGACTTTTAGATAGTTGAAGAACAACCTGCTCCTGAGTTTAATGAAGCAGATTGTGATGCTCTGCTGCGTGGAGATAATCCACAACCTCTTACTACTATTAGGGATGATGAAGGTTATTTGATATGTTATTATCCTATAATTATTTTTGAGAGAAATGCTAGTTAAGAACTTAAGATTGATTTCTCCTATTTATAATAGGTGTTGAACATATGAATGCTACATCTCCACCTTTGTTTGATGATGTTGGATTTGAAGCTCAATCTACACCTACTGGAGTTGGAGTTCAATCTACTCTTGAAGTTGCTATCTCAGGTTTTCTTCCTATTATAGTTGCTAATGACTTAGCAACTAAAGAACTTGACTTGAATGAATTTTATGGTGATGACTGATTTTCTTGGTTTGATGAGTTTCACTTAGGACTTAGGAAGAATGTAATAAATATGGATTAGACTTTTGTGCAAGGATGTTGGATGATTTTCCCTTTGATGTTGGATTGTTATATTTATGGATTTGGCTATTATATTTTGTGAATTAAACTTATATGCAAGGATGCTGTATGATTTTTCCTTTGATATTGGATTGTTATATTATAGATTTGGCTATTAGATTATGAATTTGATATTAATATTTGTGATCTTTTAATTTTAAATGATGTTTTTATGCTTATATAGGTATTTAATTAATAATTTTTAAATGTATATTATTCAAAATATATTAATTTACTATTGATCGGTTCAACTACGGTTCAATCCCAGTCCGACCATTGAATCATGAACCACTAGCTTGATCAGTTCGATGATCGGTCTGGTTTTTAAAACTTTAGTTTTCATTGCTCACACTTTTCTTCCCTCTTCTTTCTTGCTATCTTGTGTTTTTGACTTTTTGTTTTTCTAAAAAATTGCATCATTTGTCGCAACAGATTGTGCCATGTGGCGCATGACATTGATGCACAACTCCATGTTTGGGCCTAAGTGGCCCAACATCCTACCTAACCCAATTTCATTTACTCCCCAGCATTGTCTAAGTTCAAAATTCATCTCTAACCTAGATTATTGCTCCTAAATGCTTTTATATCTCAATTAAACATAATTAACCTCTATAATAAAATTAGAATGTTACAATCATCAC